GCTTGGTGTACAAACCCCAATCTACTCCATAAGAAAGTCGCAGCTCTTGAGAACGTCGAGAAATATATATATATATAACAAAGCGAAGGCAGTTAAGTTTGACAGATGTGAAAATAATGTGCTGTGCTTTTAAAGTCACAAAACGGATAACCCTATATAGTTATTAGCCGAATTTTAAATCTTCTATACAAGCGATACCTCGTGATCTTCTCCCTTTCAATGAAATTGTGTGCAAACAGATAAAAAAAACCCGTTCCATGAAAATAGCAAATATCAAAAAGAAGTTTTAGATTTTTGGTATTTGAAATTTTTTTCATTTCCCCAAGCCACATTGAAAAATTTGTTAAAAATATATGTATATATGTATGTATGACAATAATCCACATTTATACATTTTCTTTTCACTGCAAGTTCTAAATCGCGTTCGGTGAGGCAGAGAGAGCGCACTTTTCAGAAGTTTTAAATCGAATTTCCGGCGGTAGAGATTAGTAAGCACCAAAATTATAAGATTTGTGATAAAATGCAACCATTTTGTGAAAAACACAGAAATTAATTACAATGAAATTCCAATTCTTTAATCTGAATGATATACGAGCAGAGAGAGAGAGAGAGAGAGAGAGATGATGAAATAGATCTTTGTTAAATTTGAATGCATGATAAGAACGAATCAATTAAATAGTAAGGATACCCGCTACACGAAAACAGTGGAGTGGAATCATGGCCCTCACACCTTACAGCCTACATTGAGGAATTGAAAGTTAGGAACGTGAAAGCAAGGAACTAGAATATATTTCGGATCTCTTTCATCTACTCAAAAGCAGTGTCGACTAAATGAGCCGCAAACATTCCGAACCAAAGTTGTTGCTTCCGCCACAATGATGATAATGCATTATTAAGCGTCCGAAAGCGACGACGATGTGCCAATTGAAATATTAGTCGCATTTTATAGAAAAAATAAAGCCCTCACAGTAATTCTAAGAGCTCTAATCACAAGTATATAATTTTAAAGAAAATCACCACGCCATCCTAACCCTCACTTCGTAGGAAAAACGTTCGAGTATCCATTACATGCCAGTACACATACATATATACATAAGTACATAGAAGCTTCGCAATCAACGCTGCCGGTAAGCGTAAACAACCTGTTGTTGTTTTTAAATCTCACTTACTATTTGCCACTTTCTGCACTTGTTTTTAGTCGTTGATTGCATCACTTTGCGTTATCTCAGTGAACGTCTTAGAGTGCACTGCCCTTACAGCCACACCGCTTGCGCTATATCAATGTGCAACGGTATGTATGGAGGTAAACATTTCATGATGCATATACATATATTATTCAAAATGTGTATACAAAATGTAATCTATATTTCACACTTTCATGCATACATAAATAACTCGAGTTGTTGTATCAAGTGACGACATCGCGCCTCGCCGCCCTACGAGTGCGTGTTGCATTTGTCTCTGGTTTTATGTTTACAATTGATTTTCTGGAATTATCTACATACGTCAGCGGAAATGTGCAAAAAAAAAACGCAAAACAAAAATATAATCAAATTTCCAAACCTGCTCATTTAGCACAAATGACTTGTGGTACAATTTCAGCTTTTATTGATTTTATGCATTGACCAGCCTCTATTTTAAAAGATGAAAGTTCAAACCAAAATCACGCTTTGACACAGACAGATAGCAGTATTAAAGCGCATTTGCTCATTCTGAATTGCCGAGTTTCGACTTACGTTTAAGTAACACTACAGCATTGAGAGCAAACAAAACACAGATGGGTGAAAAGCTCAAAGGTAGATTCAATTTGAGCTTCTTAATCGAAATTAATTTAGTTTGTGCGAGTTAATCCACTATTTAAAAGCTGGAACAATGAAAAATGTTTAATGGAAACAATGAAAAACTGTTTAGACCACTCATTTTTTGGCAAGTGGGCCCGAGACTGATATTTTCTCAGGGAAGTGGACGGGGAACCGACATATTCGAAAAAATCATATTTATGGTTCGACTTACTTGAAATACGAGGGCATCGAAGTAAGACGCACCATTCGAAAAATAGCAAAGTGACACCTTTGCGGAAGCAGAGGAGGCACCGATTTTGAATTATTTGTGGTTCCACCGCTCTGTGCCCATTCAAATGCTATTTAAATTATTCAGCCGAAACTCTGCAACGACACTCGACTTGTTCTAGGGTTGGCAAAGCAGATAATTATTTTATGTGTATACCCACCCACAGGTATTGATCAAATAAAATTATGACGAAAGGATAACCCGAGCTTCATTTTTTATGAGTTCAATGAACTTATGCCACATTCTAAAAGTCTCACGTTTAATAAAATCATAATTTATATTGAAATAAATTAAATCTGTTTGAAGTCATTTTTTCTAAAAAAAAATTTTAAATACAAAAAAAAAAAAAAAAAAAAAAAAAAACAAAAAAAAACAACCTTTGCCGCCAAATTGTATCATAGTAAAGGGTAATTTTTGAGGAGCTATAAAAAAATTAAAAAACACATAGTCTCATAAAAAATAGTCTATAGGCGTTAAATCGCACGATCCAGGCCGATCGACCGGTCCCGAACGTGAAATAAAATGTTCACCGAACTCGTCTCTCAATAAGTCCATTGTTAAGCGTGCTGTGTGACATGTGGCACCGTCTTGTTGACACCATATGTTATACAAGTCTAGCTCTTGCATTTTGGCAAAAAAAAAGTTTGATATCATCTCACGGTAGTGCTCACCATTCAAAGTTATGTCACGATTCGCATCATCTTTGAAGAAGTACGGTCCAATGACGACACCAGCCCATAAACCGCCCTAAACTGTGACTTTTTCTGAATGCATTGGTAGCTCTTGCAATGCTTCTGGCTAATCTTCACTCCAAAATCGACAATTGTGCTTATATACGCATTCATTAATCCGAATATGAGCTTCGAAACGCGCGCGTAAAAAGCGCGCCATGAACTTTTTTAAGAGAGCAAGCATTTTGTTAATAAGATTCAACAATTTGCAAGCGGTGTTCGTTTGTAAGACGATTCATGATTAAATTATAGACCAAACTGAAGATGTTTGACAGTGATACAAAACAGAAACGTGCCTCAGTTTTTTAAACCAGTGTTGCCAAAGAGATAATAGCTAAAAAAAATTACCCTTTATTAAGCAGTCAAATTTGATAAAAAACTATAGTAATATAATTGGCGCTTTGTAATTGCTGAAGCGGGTTTCGACCGAGGAGGAGGCTCCAATTTATAGTTTTACTTCCTTCCAACAAACGGAGGGACTTACAGTTTATACTAAGCCGCCTAACCAAATTATTTGCAACTTGAAACTAAATTAAGAAAAGAGCTTAACTCAACCCACGTTGGAGGCAAGAAATTATTTTTGTTGTTCGCTGGGTGACTTATTTCTTTTCAACACTAATTATTTCATTATCCACCATGCACACACACACGCTGAGAGCTCAATTCGAGCCATATGGCTGCTCTCTGCTGAAGTAAATATACGAGTACACTCTTATTTATCAAATACGCTCTTAAATACCTTTGCGCTCTACTAAAAAGTTCTATGAATTTTTGGAGCACGTGTAGATTTAGTATTCGATGCTACTCAGTTCAGAGATACACTCACGAAACAGTTACATATGTACGTATATGTGTGCGTTTGTTAGTGCATACACAAAAGTGTAACCCGATGGTATTGGGTCATGATGTTATTGCCGTTAAGTTAACAGCAGGAACGCTCTTGACGTCTAGATGAATAATCGCAAGCATTTTAATAAAATTACGAATTTATTTCAATTAGATTTAAACGCATGCATGCAGTTGTCATACAATTATATGTATGTATATGCAGCTCACGTGAAATTGTTTTATCAGGCGTTTTTCTACCTCCAAATCTTGATTGGTTTCCTTCGCTGTTTCACGTTTGACCGTAAAAATTTTTTTATTCAAGCGTAATTTTTGTTTTTTATCAAAGCGGGGAATGATGGCAGGTGATTTTTGATAGTCTTTCCAAACTTCAAATTATTAAAAAAAAATTTATATACACAAATAAACTATGAATTTTAAGCATAGAAGAAGGGTAAATATTTTCTTAGGACTACAATTTATAAATTGAAATATTTTTTTCCGACGATTTTCCGCCTTACACACCCTAACTTTCTGCACTTCCCCGCCTGAGACTCCGAACGTATGCTTAGTAAGCGCTTAATTTGAGTTATTTGCAATTCCTCTAGGCAGCTATTGAGTCGAGCCGGCAGTGTTCGCGATCAGCAGCGCCGCTGATAATTTATATTGTTCAGTTGCTATTTTGCCGAGGTCTAGTGTTGTGTGTTTCCAAACTTTAAGCGCTGTGACGAAAGAGTGTGATTGCGAACCGCGAGGGTAAAGAGTTAAAATTTTTGGCGTTCAGTAGGCGAATACATTAGGCGTGAAAGCAAATAGCTCAACTATTCGCAAGTGAAAGAATCAAATTTGAAATAGATTGAGGAGGTGTGCCCTGTATTTGCAATTAAACAAAATGCCACAATCTGTACGTGATTTATAGCACTAAATAATATACATATGTATCTAATACAGACATTTATATAATATCTACTTAAATTGTTTCCGGAGATATATGTACATAACATACACACACAATATACCATAAGCTTGCTCAGGCTTGCTCTTCAATTTGGAGCGCTCTTATTTATCTTTGTATATTGCGTGACCTCTAAAATACAAACAGCTATGTGCATATGCATATAAATATGTATGTGCGTATGCATGATAGATACCTACTTGTATATGATTTGTAACATTTGCGGGTAACATTTTTATGCTTCAATAAATTTCTCTTTTCGTGCTCGACTATATATGTAAATACATACAATGTCAAAATACTCTCTTTTAATTTGAATATTTTATTGAGCACTCAATTCAAATTAATTATCACTGTATTTTCGTTAAATAAACATGTAAATATATTTACAATCTTTTTTTGTTTATTTGTTATTTTAGGGTTCGTCGTTTCTAAAACGTGCCAGCACCGATAAACTCCGCGAAGTCTTCCTCAGATACGCTTCGATACAAAAGGATGGAGATCACTACATGACCAGTGAAGATTTTGTTCGCAAATTTCTTGGACTCTTTACCGATGCTACATTCAATGATGTGAGTATAATTATTTGTGTACACGTGTGCATGCATACGTATATATATAATATATACTCCTATATATGTATGAAAAGACACCGAGCAACTATTTATTTGATAAAGCAAAGCAATCAAAAGCAAGAGGATCCCATTATCATTTATGTTACTTTGTGCGTCATCACACACACTATGTCTGGTTTATGATCATAAAATGGATCATATGTATGTAATATGTATTTTAAATGTTATTATTTTTAAATAATTTCTAAATACGCTCGAATTACATTTCAAAATAGATATTAAGGTGTATATATATATAATTCATAAATGAAACAGTGTAAGTTTTATATTTACTCATTTCTCTTATATATGTACATATGTTATAGTGGTTTGTGTCTGATTAAAAATAATAATATTGAGAAAGTTCCATAAAGTATAGTTTAAAAACCTTGAATTTGAGGTAAATTTTACTAATTTTTATTAACAAAGCATAAGAAGTAAAGTTTTCAAGTTATTTCCTGGAAGTTCTATTCATTAATAACCATAATTACCATAATCACACACTGTAGTTGGGCTCAAAACATTTTCCATCGCATTTTTTTCTACCACCCTAGTATACAATATTATGTGAATGTACTTAGTTTGCACACAGCCAAATAAACCGTGGGAGAAAAGCCAAGCAATTATTTCACAATGTTTTTTATGTGATAGTATTCTATTGAATTGTATGTTCCAACGTTGCAAAAATATTGAAAATAGAATTAGATTTTTTTTTTTAATTTTGTGATAAGTTTTAGGTTCCAAAATTGAAAATCATTTATTATTCAAAACAAACCGCCAGTGATTCGCCCAAACAAACTCAGCAGGCTATCATTTGAGCGCCACGTGATTATCTCCACAAGTCAAGAGAGGCGCGTAGGGTGAGGGGCGTGGAAGGTGTGAGGTAACACAATGTTGTTGTTGTAGCTCACACATAGACTTTATTAATTAGGAATACTATGTGTGCTATAAAAAGAGCCTTATCACTTGAAGTATACATTTTTAACTCACTTAACCGGCAAATGGACTTTTTGATTTACAATTGCGAACTATATTTAAGTTAATGTTTAGAATGTATATATGTATAATAAGTTAGAATAGCGATTACTACTGAAATGTGTAGGAATGTGTACATAAATCGATATGTAATAAAACTATTTAGTGCTCTTCATTGTTTGTATACAAATTGTCAAATTTGATGGGATAGTTGTACATACATACATACATGTGTCACGTATGGCAATTAACACTTTACATTTTATTCTACCTCCAAGAGTACGCACTTTAAATGCTTCTTTTGCTCATCTTTGCAGGAATCTGTGCGTCTACTAGCCAGCATAGCGGACACCAGCAAAGATGGGCTGATCTCATTTGCCGAATTCCAAGCCTTTGAAGGCCTGCTCTGTACTCCAGACGCCCTCTACAAAACTGCTTTTCAACTATTCGATCGCAAAGGCAACGGCACTGTTCATTATGGTAAGTGTGTGGGCTATTCTGTAATACATACTTATACATACTATTTACTAAAATTATTTTAATTTTTTTTCTTTCAGCCGATTTCGTCGATATCGTACAAAAAACCGAATTGCACTCAAAGATACCTTTCAATTTAGATAGTTCCTTCATTAAGCGGTATTTCGGTGAAGTAAGTATGCCAAGATACAACTTATAATAAGACAAATATGTACGTACACTGTATATGCTTACTTATTTAATTATCGAAATTGCAGAAAAAAGAACGCACCATAAATTATGTGGAATTCACACAATTACTCCATGATTTCCATGAGGAATATGCGATGGAAGCATTCCGTAGTAAGGATCCAGCTGGTTCTGGATACATCTCACCCTTAGATTTTCAAGACGTTATTGTTAAAGTGAAAAGGCATTTACTCACACCCGTTGTCAAGGATAATCTAATAGCGGTGAGTGACAATTAACAAACTATTACGGCAATAAATAATTTTTCTATTATTTTTTCTCTCTTTGCTTTGGCATTAATTGCTTTCGCAACTTATAGGTCACCGAAGGTCACAAAGTGAGCTTTCCCTATTTCATCGCATTTACTTCGCTGCTCAATAATATGGAATTGATTAAACGGATATATTTGCACGCCACTCAAGGCAATCGCAACGAGCCCGTGACAAAGGATGAGCTACTTTACGCCGCACAAACAATGAGTCAAATAACGCCATTGGAAATTGATATACTCTTTCAATTAACCGGCGCACTGCATCAAACCGGGTAAATTTTGTTAGTTAAAGAGAAATACATATGTGACTAAATATAGTGCATAAGTAGATACATACATACATGCATATAAAGAACGGACACACATATAAAATTACATATACGTACGTATAGCTTTGGCGCTATAAAGTTTATTTAAAAAGAAAAATTGATAATTTAGGACATCTTCCCTAAAAACCTCACAGTTAGTACCTTATTTTAATACTTAGAATTTTATGAGAGACGTTAAGTAATTAGTGCACTTCATCTTAATTCAGGTTATAATTTTGTTAAATGATTATGAAATTTAAAAGCTTAAAAACATTTCAAATGCTGTGAAGCGTGATTTTATTTAATTTGTCTACCAAATTGTGGAAAGAACATTTCATACCATATTTTAGGCAAAACTATTTATTTTTATGCTCATAAATATACATGAAAATGAAAGGTTGATAAATGGTTAGGAGTTCTACACAAAAATATTAAATTAACTTATAAAAGTCCTTTAAGGATTCCTGTCATAGAAATTGAAACTATTATAGAACAAGCATTCTCACTCACATACATATTGCAGCTCATTAAAATTAAAAATTTTCAATTTATTTGTTTGAAAAATAATTTTATTAACTTTCCCTGTTATCTCTATATTTTCTTGTCCTTCTCTCCAAATGTATAATCATTAATTCATGTTTTAACCGCTACATATATAAAACGTGTGGCTATTTAAAACAAAAAAAAAAAACTAGTTGGTGGAGACGCAAAAAGATTGATCCCAATAGGCAAGTGAATAGTCGCAATGTGTTTACTTTGAGTGTTATTTTTTCGTTTTCTCCCCTGTAGTATGTACATATTTAGATATGCATACGCTAAGAATACATTGATATCTTATCTTTTAACTTGTCATCTGTCATCATAATTTTTAAGTTTCTTTTAGCAACACATTGGACTTACCTGCGCCTTGACCCCTCTTATTTTAATATATTTCAGTTAAAAAAATATTTAAAACTCACCTAATACTTTGTGTATTTATAAAGTTACTCAGCTGCTTCTTTCTTTTTCGTTTTAATATTGCTTTAAGTATGTTTTTTAATTAATTATTTTTTGGAATACGTAATAATAGGCTCCTCTCTCTATAGACGCATCGTCTACAACGATCTGAACAATATTTCTCCCGAGCATTACACAAAGCATATCACAACACGTCTGGCCGAGATTAAGGCCGTCGAGAGTCCGGCAGATCGTTCGGCGCTCATACAGATTTTGGAGAGCTCCTACCGTTTCACGCTGGGCTCGTTAGCAGGCGGTAAGTAATACCCTACTTCTAATCTACTTACTACTTACTACTTCTACTTACTCTACTTCTAATCTGAAAAGTTTTTCCTGTTTAATTATGAACTTCATTTTTACTTCCAGCTGTTGGCGCCACCGTGGTTTATCCCATTGATTTGGTAAAGACACGCATGCAAAATCAACGCACAGGCTCATTTATTGGAGAAATCGCATACAGAAACTCTTGGGATTGTTTTAAGAAGGTAAATTGGTTTTTGAGCAAAGCGCAAGTGGTTTTGATGTTTAACTTCTACATACCCGTTCTTTTTTGAATTGTAGGTCATACGTCACGAGGGCGTACTCGGTTTGTATCGCGGCTTACTGCCCCAGCTGATGGGTGTGGCACCCGAGAAAGCAATCAAACTTACCGTAAACGATTTTGTGAGAGACAAATTTACCGATAAACAGGGTGTGATAGCCATGTGGTCCGAGGTTATGGCTGGCGCTTGTGTAAGTACTCGTAAAATAACAATATTTTCTCTCCACAAATTTTTGTAGAGTTTTGCATAGCAATTTTTTCATAATTTCTACATGCAGAGTTAAAGCTTAAGAGCTAAGCTTTCTTAGCGCGCTTGTGTGGACTGTGTTCTCAGGCGAGCTTATGTAACCGTTGCACTTAAAAAACAACTGACTTGGCTAATTTTCAACTTAACTACTTTCCATTTCAGGCCGGCGCATCACAAGTGGTCTTCACCAATCCTTTGGAAATCGTAAAAATTCGCTTACAAGTTGCTGGTGAAATTGCGGGCGGAGCTAAAGTACGTGCCTTATCTGTTGTTCGTGATCTGGGTTTGTTTGGCTTGTATAAAGGTGCACGGGCCTGTTTGCTGCGTGATGTGCCATTCTCTGCCATCTATTTCCCTGCTTATGCGCACACAAAATCGCTCTTCGCTGATGAAGACGGGTGAGCCAGAGTTAATCCAATCATTATTTCTCATATTATATATTCTATTTTCGAATTGTTCTATATAGCTACAACCATCCGCTAACCTTGCTGGCAGCTGGTGCTATTGCTGGTGTGCCCGCTGCCTCGCTCGTAACACCTGCGGATGTGATCAAAACTCGTCTGCAGGTTGTTGCTCGCTCAGGTCAGACAACGTACTCGGGTGTGTGGGATGCTACCAAGAAGATCATGGCGGAAGAGGGACCACGTGCCTTCTGGAAGGGAACTGCCGGTAAGTCGATTTGAATACCCATTGTTTAAATTACAAGTAACTAAGTTGAAAACCTTTTTCTTACCCTTGCAGCTCGTGTCTTCCGTTCTTCGCCACAATTCGGTGTCACTTTGGTCACTTATGAATTGCTGCAACGACTCTTCTATGTTGACTTCGGCGGCTCACATCCAACTGGTTCGGTGGTGACGAAGCCAAAAGCCATAGACGAAACAACGCTGAAATTCAGTCCCGACCACATAGGCGGCTACCGTGCCGCTGTGCCGTTACTCAACGGTATCGAATCGAAATTCGGTCTCTATCTGCCACGTTTCGGCCGCGGAACGACAACCACCACAAAAACAGGTTCATGATAAAATCATGTCTGTGGCACAAACCGATTGCTGGTCGATAGCTGAGCTGCTCTCAAATAAGTCTATTGTTAAATAAATTTTAATTAATAAATATTTATAAACAAATGTTGTTAGCAATTATTAAAACTGATAAATATGCAAATAAATTTATTATACGCAAATTGAGCAAAAATTAAACATGATCCACATATAGAAATATACTTGTAAAGAAATACATACTCGTACATACATATATTTTTTGCTAGGAAAATATATACATATATGTTATAAATGAAGAATACGTATGAGTATGTACATATGTACAAGTTTTAGAAAAACCAAAACCACAGGTATACACATACATACATACATACATATGTATATACATAATACATAAAAAAGAATTTTTGCCAACTTTTCAGAAAATCTTACACACCCACACACGCAGGACGATGTCAAATCAAAATTAGCAAATAAACACAAAATCACAAGGAATAGTAATACCTACATACATATATACATACATACCTACATATGTATACATACATATGTATGTATATGAATATGATATTTATTAATTGTGTAGAGAAGAGCTATAAACTGTCCGTAAAATTGTTTTCGTACAATTCTCGAGTGACCTCTCGCTATGTGCGAATCTATGTAAGAAGCATTAAAAATAAAAGATTTTTGAATTAATTAATAGTAAATATAGTTTAAAAGTAATAAGAAAAAAAAGATACAAATAAATCACTGATTAGCAAATTATACGAACTTTGCACTCTTTTAAGAAGTTCTTTAAAACTTCAAATAAATTGTTAAAAATGAATAAATATTTATTTACATACGAACATATAATATGAAATTATGATGAATAGTAAATTTATTAGTCTTAATGAACAAATGAATAAATAAAGAATAAAGCAATAAAAAATAATTTTCTTTGGAAAAAAAACTGGGACACTTTGCATTAAAACCTTTAATGAACCTTCTTGTATGCTTAAGGTCTAATATCACGTCCCTTCTAGAACACAGGAATATGTAGTATTTGAGAAGAGACCCAAAAACTGGAATTGAAGACTCTTAAAAATGGTGAGAGGCCTGTTTGTTTTCAATTTCTTTACTTTTCATTAGATCTCTTTATTATTTATTTTTCATTTTTATTTAAACCTTTTATTATTTTCCTCCGACATTGTTTCATTGTTTAGTATGCGATCGATCGATCAGACTCGGTTTCAAAGTCAGTCAGGCAAATATAATATCTAATTTTCCGCTGAACGCAATGGGCAATGCCAATTTCACGAGTTTATTGGGTCAAAAAGGCGTAAAAAATGTTTCCATGCAAAACTAAATGCTAAGTTGGATTGCAGCGGCTCCCAAACTTGCGGTCACTAGTCATTGTTTTGTGAAAGTATTATTCTTTTCAAAGACACTTATGTGTAGGTGCGCATGCATATACATATAGTAAATATGTATGTACAAGTACTGGTGTCTTTCGAATTGTATATGACATTAAAACCGCCTTCCGCGGTTCAATGCAGCGCAGCCGCGTAATTATAGTATTTGCTGAGCTCGTGAACTCACCTGAAAGCGGTCACTCAGCTGTCACAAGAAACGTATTTCGGAATATAAATATCAGTGGTTTGCTGCAAAGCGTTTTCAGTGACAATCGTCGTGAGGAAAGTGAACGAAATTGATGATAAGTGAGCACGGAGCAAAACTGCTTAGATAGAGTTAAATAAAAAAGCAGCTGGAAGCCTTAAATGTGAATAAATCGGCCAAAAGATGACATCTTGCAAACTAACTGTATTATTTAGTGTGTTTTACTTACACTCATTGTCTGCGTTTCTTAATGGAGCACCGTTTGAGACAAGTTCGGAGAAAGCTCTGAGTGCCGAAACGCCCGCTGCCGACGTGGTTTCCACCACTCTCAGTGAGCGCATAGGGTGGGTGCAAGAAATGAAGCAAATTCGGAAACACATTAAGGATTGCGTGCAGGTAAGGAAGCAAAATCAAGCTACAATGAGTTGTTTTAATTAAAATGGATAAAAAACGTCACAGCAGCAAACGAAAGACTCAATCTGGAACTGCTTCAAGGTGAGTAGTATACGCCTATTCGACGATATCATGTCTTCCAACGTGATACCTCTCTGGCCCGGTGTTCGTCTGGTACGCTCAAGCGCATCGACTAATATAACGAATGAGAGGTAAAAGACAATAGACACAAATTTACGCGTACACATTTAATTGTGTTTCATAATTTTGAATTTAGTCAGGCAAAGAGTATTAGTGAATTGTATGATCGTAAGGACCTGCAACACCTCACTTGGTTCGATCGACTCGCCATGCGGCTGGCACAAACGCTGACCACGCATTTTCTACAGGTGAATCTGCGTGAGCTGACAGATGCTTACATGCAAGCACTAGAGAGGGAAGGTAAACAATTTAGACGTTTATAAATTGATTAAAATTAATTTGCATCTATAAATATTCTCCCTTCCCTCTTATTGCGACGCAGAGAATAAAAAGCTCATCTCCGACAACTTAGGCACCGCACGCCATCGCCGACAACGGTACAATATGATGATAACGATGATGTTTGGAGTCACCGCTCTGGGCGCTGTGCTCGTGCCCATGGGCTTTCAAATGCTCTCCATTGTAAGCGGAAAAGCTTTACTGCTCGCCAAAATGGCGCTACTACTAGCATCCATCAATGGCCTCAAGAAGGTAAAGCGAAAGCTAATGTTGAAAATTTGCATTACGTAATTATTACGTTCAAAAAATTCATCAATTAATTCAATTTGATTGGCAGTCTTCTCATTCCTTCCATTCCTTGCCACAGGTGGCCAACAGCGGCATCCATTATGGCCTCTATCACGTGCCGGGTGAGCACTACGGCTACTACGATCGCGGCGATGCGCCACACCATCCCAGGCAAGTGGCCAGTTTTGCTGTGGCACAACCAGTCACTGAGGAGCTGGGATTGGGCAAATAGCAATGAGTTCAATAATAGAACATAAATAGTAAATAGTAAATAGTAAATTATTTGGGAATGTATATGAAATGTATTGCCTTATTTTTAGAAAATTCACTTTGTGAAATAGAATTTATGTACGAGTATTTAAAAACATTTAACATATTTAATAATTATTATATTCACGTAACATAAATATATGTGTGCAATACATAACTACAGGTGATGGATGGACGTGATTTTCCTATTTCAAAAGTTCTTAATGATTATGGCTGCCTTTTGAGCTTTTCTGTGTTTGCTATAATACTAGTCATAAAGCTTTTAATTATAATTTTATATAAAAGCTCACAAAGTGTTCCTAAAGAACACAAGTTGCACTTGGGTCATATTAGTGTATGTGCCGTTAGAACGTATTCACATTATAGATAACAATAAAAAAAGACCCGTCTTCGGCCATGCCAAAGTCTCTATCCCTTTCATTACCCAAATGTAAAATCGGTCGTATATATGCTATAATGGTCTCATACGGCCAGTCCCGACCGAAAATCTGTGTATTTGTAAACCAAATTTCAAATATCTCATAAACTGAGAGACTAGATTCCGTGAGCTGATCGATATAGATTTTAATGGGTCTATCTCTTCTACTTATGTTGATTCGGAGCAAAGTTAACATACCATTTCATGTACATTCACGGTGTAAAACCGTAAGAAGGTAAGGATGTTAAAAAAATCTAGAGATCAATTTCCACACCAATTTTACTTATACTCACCAACCTTCAATGCTTTTCTTTGAATATTTATTTTTAATTTAAGCCTTCCTCAGCTGCTGTCAAGAATTAGCAACAAAGTATATGGGAAATTCAATTCACACTTGAAAATTCTCACTCGCACTAGCCGATTGAAGCTCCCGCAGTGGAAAGGAGATACCACGAGTTCAGAGCATAGTGACGGGGATATTCATGACATATCGGAGTGTAATTGGGATATCGTTCGAAGTATATATTTTCTGCTGGGTTAAAACAAAACGCACTAAAAGAAATGCCGCTTCGGCAACAAGTGTTGTATGATTTTCCCCTAAAACTGTAAAAACTCCACTAAACAGCTAACTATGTACGATTATATTCATATGTATACAAAGTTTTGTCGTTAAAACTGACGACACCACGAGAGTCGGCAAGAACATCGGCTTTACGTTTTCGCGATGACGCTATAAAAGGATATGCCTCGCTGATAACAAATTCATTGTACGGACGGTTAGCTAAGTTAGCGGTAACCGTTCAAGGACGGAAAACTAGCCACCAATACAACTGTGACATTTTAACAATCGCGCGTTGTAACGGTTTTTCATTTCAAAATAGTTTTCAAAAAGGATTCGCGCCCAAAAGTGTAACCTAAAATAAAATAATTTTATTATAAATAACTAACCAAAATAAGCTATTTTTGTTAATTTTCACGAAAATTAAATATATTTATGTGCGCTTAAGTTGCACATCTTGTGCGTGAAGAAAGCCTATGCTTCTGGGCCGCGTGTGCCAACTCAGTTTTGAATTCGGTGTCAATTTTCACTAATAAAGTTATTGCATTTTCCCTTTACTGACTTCTTGTATTATTTTCACTCCCATTGCGTGCATATGTATGTATGTATGCAAATATGTATATATAGATATATACGAGTATGCGTGTATGTGCAGATTTTAATCTTTGAACATCTTCCACCAGCCTGCAGCCGCCGAGCACTTAAAAGTTATAAGAGTTTGAAATCTAACACGTCCCATTTCGCTTTTCACTGCACGGATTTCCTCGCCCCACCATAAGCCAACAGACGCACCGAAGTCATTCAAGCGCAGGCATACATAGAGCAGAGGCTACAACAATAACGAGTAAGTGAAGTGCAGCGCTCAGTGAATTATTATGTCCGAATTTTAGAAGCATACAAATATACATACACGTACATATACTTGCACACCTCATCTCCCAGTTGCTGGCTTAGCCATAACTCAATTTATTGTCTTTTAAAGCGCCATAAGAATAAACGCTGATTGCCGCGCGGATTTAATAAATTATTTCTCTTATCCTTACGGAAGGACTCTGCATAGAAAAATCAACACCTCATAAAAAAGCAACAAAATGAAGGCCATTGTATTCCTGTCGTTTTCGCTGATTGTTCTAAGTGTTAAGGTAAGTAATAGCTTAAGCTTTTTAAAAAGATTTAGCAGCAGAAATGGCGCTTATTGCGGTTTAAAATGATTTTCTTGCGATTGGCTGAGTTTATCATTGATGCTAATATAAGCTTTTCATAAATGAAAGCACTTCAGCACTGGGTGTATAAATTATTTCGGTAATTTTTTTTGTTAAAAAAGGATTTTTTTTTTAGTAAAAAAAAATTTCATTCGAATATTGTCCACCCGAAAGAACTAGTGTTGGCGATCTTTCTGATAATTTTGGAATACCATCTCTCAAAATATATGCCCTCTGTGCTCGATCCAACCACGGAGTCGTTCTTCGATTTCCTTAAAAGACCCACACCGGTGACCGCTCAAATCGAAAAAATCAGTAGTCGGAAGGAAAAACGTCTAGAGAAAAGTGGGTGAGGTAAGATCTTCCATTCTAGCGTTTCCAGGTTGTTTTTAATCATTGCAGCCACGTGGAGCCGAGCGTTATCATGCTGCAAAATAACCATGTCTTTCCATCGTTTCTGGCAGTTTTACCAGAAAAGAACGACTTAAACTAATTTGTTGTAGTTGATTGGGACGGAAGTGGTCAAAACTTTTTAGGCAGACCAGAACTCGGTTTGTCTTCGACATTAAAATTACCACTTTTGAAGCGTCAAAGCCAATTTCCGCCTGACTTATTGGTCGGCGCAGATGGACGGACGCACGGTACGGTAATAAAATCATCGAAGCCAATTATATTTGGAGCACTCAAAATACGAGTATATGCCATAACGCATCGCAACATCATAAAGTCATAAACTTTTAGACTAGTTTAAAAATTTTCCAAATTAGATGAACACATTTATGACCCGCTCACTACTCGTATGTGTACGGTTCGTCTTAACTTTCGTTCGTTTACTTTCGTATCAGTTGGCTGGTTTATCACAACACACCTGGAATGGGCCAGGGACTGAGCCATTCGAAAATATCGTTTTTATTTTCCGCTTAATTTAAAATTTCGTGTGCTTCGGTAGCTTTTTTCTGAGATTAGCAGGAACGCTACTGTTCTCTCCACCAATACCAAAGGTCCATGCGAAAGTATCGTAACTATAATACTCTTCTTTGGTGGCGTTGGTAGCCGAGTGGTTAGCATTGCGTACTGCCATTCGGTTGGCCCGTTTTCCGGCTTGACCAACATCCAAAAAATATAGAAAATTAATTTCAATATAAAATTAAGTTAAATTGTCTAACTGCGGTCGCCCCTCAGTAGGGAATGTCACTTCCTCCGAGCATATTTGTGTCACGGAATTCTATCAGCCATCCGAATACGGATTAAACTGTGGTCTCTCAATATATTTTTAGAAAAGCTGAAACCTTAAAGGAGCTAACTGTTGAATTGCGACTCAGACAAAAGTAATGAGTCAACTGAACTACAGGAACATTCTAGTCCGTTAATTTCATCCACCACTCAGCAAGAAACTGAAAAAAAAAACTTTAAAAACATCTCATTTAACCCATGCAACCCGTTGGCAAACATCCAGTCGTCTGTGTGAAAATATCATCATCATTCACACTTCTCTTTAACTGCATACTCAACTCAAATGCCGTTAAACAGTACGTCGCAGCTTTGCGGCTAATACTAGAAGACATTTCTCACAAGAAATACACACGAGAATGACGTCTCGCGGCCTTTGCAGGATGAGAGTTGTTGGGCCTCAAATGCAGGTCTCATTGTCGGCGGAGCAGATGTTGGCTGAGGTTAAAACGGACGGATGCAGTTGCGGACGACGGACAGATTGTCGCCATTAGGAATGCAACTAATCAAATGTTACCTACGATTCATACAAAATGTCATTTCTGCTGCATTGCGAAGCCACAGCAGTTCAGATAACGCTTTAGTATTCATAGCTTCACTGAGAGGAAACTTGCCATACTCTGCAGGCATGAGGATTTTCTTTCCACACCAAGTGTCACAAATGCGACAAATTGATGTACTCATGTAAAGTGTCTTTCAAATCCTTCCCTACTTCATTGTAGACAGAGATGTTTGTATGTATACATATGCGAGGATATGTTTGCAAAAGTTAAACCCCGTTAAATTGCTGCTGTGTACTTAATGTACATTAGCTTCACAGAATCTCACGAGGCGGCTATGGAGACTTCGGTGCCTTGTCTGTTCAGTATCCATGCATCATTGAGTTTTGAATTATTTACTGATTTTCTAAGAAGGAAATTAAAATCAGAAGCCATGACGAAGTGACAGTCGAATTGCTTATCTACACACAACAACTATTAGTGCATATGTACATATGTTTACATCGCCGTACTGCACATACACGCAAATGCCTTCATTCACACCAACAAATCGGCAGCCAAGTGTGACAAAGCTTGCCACAACTAGCTCCTTACTATCAAAAGTTAAAATAGCAGAGGTAGATGTGTGTGTGTGTGTGTGTGATGTGTGTGTGTGTGTATGTGAGAATATGTACGGATACTATCCCCATCACCATCTCACTCCCACCGCAGCTTGACAAATAATCAAAGAAAAATCTTTGGCCACACAAAACAAAAAAACATAAAGACTCCCCCGCAAACCATTTTGTAGTTATTTGTTCGCAAGAAATTTTCACCGGAAATTAATTGGCGTTCTAATGGAATAAGCGCATAAGGTGCTTCGTTAATCCAAAGGACTATTTGACCTAACGTTTTGTTAAAACTCGTGGAAGCCACTGACTCAGTTCACCAGTTGTTTGCTACACTTCGCTTTTGTAGGGCAAGAAGTTTTAGTTTCTCAAGTGAAAGTCGTCAACTTATGTCATTATATTAATAGCAGCTATTTTTGTATAAACTTTGGATTGATATTTATATTCGAAAGAGTTTCTCGCCACGCACGTTTCACAAGTTGAGATGAAAAAGCATGATGCCTGAAGAGGTGGGGGTTTATGTTAGTCTTACGTATTTAAAGTGATATATCAGGACTGTTCAAATAAACACTTTTGTATAAATATAAAGTGAAGCCCATCAATAACAAAAATATGTGGTATATTAAATTGGCGCCCCGGTAGCCGAGTGGTTAGTAGTGCGTACTGCCATTCGGAAGGTTTAAGCCCAAAATTTAAAATAAAAAATTAAGTTAAATCTTCTAACTGCGAAGTGAGGAATGTCAACCCCTCCGAGTGTATTTCTGACAAGACGCACAATCACAAATTGGAGGAGGAGCTCGGCCGAAAATCGCATAAGCGTTGCAGTGACTTTCGTCTCCTCTTATATATGGTGTACATCTCAACGCTTTAACAACTAATGGGGACATATATTTTTATAGGAAGAATTTTATTCCAAGACAGAGATTGTCTTGGAACTCCCCGTCAGGATGCCTTTTCTATTTCTGAATTTGAGAACAAAAACAAATATTGATCATCAAAAATTCTTTATTATTTTTAAAAATATCTCCATTAAGATCCATGTACTCATATACACTTTTGGAAGTGTTTGAGTCACTTGTCGAAGCACTTTTGCCACTCTTATTGAGACGTCTCCCAAAGAGGTACTCAAATGTCAAAAAACGTTGACCTCTCATTTTTTTTATGCAAATCTAAAGGAATAAAAAGTCTTTGGTGCCAAGCCAGAACGATACGGTGGATGACCTATCAAATTTTTGTTTTGAATACTAAAAAATGCAATAGTTTTAGTCGATGTGTAAAAGCTGTCACGATGTCATAGACGAGTTTCGATGTACCGCTATCGTATTTTTAACATTTCTCTCGACTAATCGGCACGAATCTTTTTTTAGCAAATGCCAAAATGTATGGGATCTAATGTATTCAATTTTTTTCCAAATATTCATGTAATATTGAACGTTTGCTGGTCCCTAATGCCTACAGTGGTGTCAATGGTGGTCCACCATTAACTTTGTCCCTAATACAGCTTAACTGTTTTTGACGAAGATTAGGTCGAAAGTTGTAAAAAAATAATCGCAAAAATGCTCTCGATAGTTCCATTTTTTGGCCGAGAAAAATAGCGCTCGTATGTCAAAATTTTCTGAGTACGATATTATCAAAAACTTCACGATAAAGTTGTCAGTAGCCAGATTGGAACAATAGGCTTGCCAAATCTCAAAATATTAAGTGGAATCGATTCGAGTTTTTATCTATTCGATAATGGTGAAAGGTAATACTTTTGACAAAATGTTCCCACAAAAATTTCAGGTAGGGATATACAGGTCTTTCCGCTTCTATATTTCATAAGAGATGAGAGCTTTCTATAGGCTTGAATTTTCAAATTTTGTATATCATAAAAACTTCAGTTTAGTTTTAAAATCGAAACGAGGTAATTAATGTCATCTTAAATAAACGTAAATCGAACGTTAAACGAAATCATTGGAACGCATTAAATGTCATGTCATAATATCCGCAACATGAAGTTAACAGGTGCAACTAATTTCCTGCGGCAAGTGCAAGTAAACGCTCGTCTAATTATAAGTCCACAAAGCATAACACAATGTGTACTAATTGAATTCACAATATAAATATTTGTACATTAGTACTAAGTGCCGCTATGTGCATAAACGACAACAACTATCGCTTGATGGATTAGCAAAATTGATTTGACAAAGTCATAACATTAGATTTATCTGATAAGAACGTTGGAAGGGTTCCAAAGTAAATGGTTTCCAAAATCCACTCGAGTGCTATATGCACAGAATGTTCATACATATCCATACATACCCCACCATGTCATACCCACACCTAATTAAATGATTTTGTGTAATACATATTTACACTTACGTAATGCAATAGTTCATTACAAATAAAGCAAAGACTTTTTTTTTAATAAATCATAACTCATTTAGGGGTTAATGTCATTAGCATCCGTCGCCTGCAAAAAACAATCCCATGTTTGTTCATGAATTAAGTAATCACACAGCACAAACCAACAACTCGTTGACCCAAAGGCCACCTAATTGTAATTAAATAAATAAAATTGCTAAAGGCATCATCGTTTTGTCTTTCACTTCAATCGTTAATA